CTCGTTAGCGCAAGTCGTTCGCGCGTTCGGCTGCGATCGTTGAAGATCAGCGACTTTCGTAGTGGTCGGTCATTGGATGGGTGACCAAAAATTTACTATCTCCAGCTCCTCCGTGCTTCAGAAGGCCGTCAGTCCCGGCTGCATCTGCAGTCGTTAGCACCCAACAATCCGCACTAGGCTCGCGTGGTGGGTCATGGCCTGAACTCCCTATTATAAGGAAGGCCTGTGCCCCTGCAGTAGGGACATTAATAGGCTTTTTATGATGATGATCTCCATAAGTTCAGTATATTTTACGGTACATATCGGTATTTAAACATCCATTATTAAGTGAAAAATAATATTAACAACCAACCGTTTACGTTTTAAATGTAAAATTCCTAAAAAGATTTCATACCTATTCCCGATCATAATTTTTGTTCAAACAAGATGTATTTGCATTAACAATAAATTTATTACGGTGTTTGCTCGGGTCTTAGCGATTCAATAAATCATACATTTCGTTGTTTGCACAAACAATGTTTGCATCGTGATCATATAATCCGATGCTTAATACAAAATTTGTTTGCCATTCCAATAATGGTGCCTGCTCGCCTATTGACATTGTGATTGTTATGAGAACAACAAGCAAATTATATGAACCTCATATAATCTGTATTGTTAAACAAACCAAAGGCAATCAGGCTTATATCAGTAATATAATTTCACCAAAACCTATTGTCATTTGTTTAATGTGACGTATTGGTATGTACCACATTACGGACTCTACATTTCTTTAGTCGTGTGGTTGTGGAGTAAATCAACACATCACATCAAAAAATTTGTGTGCACGGACCAAACAAGTGAATAGGACTTTTCGATTTACACTTCGTCTGAAAAGAAGCTTTTCTGGTTTTTTGTGCACCAGCCACATAAGTTCTATTTATTCTGCGCCTAGTCAGATAAGTTCTATTTTTTTCTGCGCCTAGTCACATAAGTTTTATTTTTTCTGCGCCTAGTTACATAAGTTATATTTTTTCTGCGCTTAGTATACAAAAGGCTCAGCAGAATCATGATTAAACCCTTATTAAACCTCTTTATCCCCTCTTTTCAATTCAAAAAGTGGACAAAGATGAAGTACAATCAGCCAATTTAATTTCTGACGCTCCATCAGCTTATTATTACTAACTACTAATAATTAGGTAGATTTTTATTTACATGTACGTATCTCTGGAAACAAATTCGTTATTTTCGGAACAATCATGTTTGACGTGATATATTTTCCCGCCTTCCTGTGACATAATTTTATCATTAAATTATTTGGAGTTTTGCCCATACATTAAGGATTTCTCTATTAGTTTACCAACATTTTTTAAAATGTCAAGTGATCGGAGTTGAGTTTCTGTTACATTTACGATTTTATAAGAGATTTCGAAATCCCAACTACTATTCAAATTTTATCAATAACATGATCTACTCATTGAAAATAAAGGTAAAATTTCAAATATCTTTTATACATATTAACGCAGTTTCTTTTTTTATTAGAAGGTCTTATGTGCAATTATTCATTCTCCACAAAGGAATACTGGAGATCGAAGAGCTGGCAGCTATCTCGAACAAAGAATTAGTTTAGCTATTCAAAGGGAGAACGCTGCCAGTATCTTCGGAACCTTGCCTAAAGGGACTCCTTTTAATAATATATTTTAGTTATTATGTTATATTTGTTAAGGTTTTTACTTTTAGATTCATTGTTCCTGTATATATTATTATTGTAAATATCATACAATTAAAAAAGGAATAATACTTGTCTGTTTTGACATATTTAAACGAATTATGGAGCAAGTTATTTAGGAATTAATTGGTTGGATTGTACATTAATAATACTGGTGCAAATGTGAAAATGGATGCACAAAAGCTGAAATGACGTTTCGTAATCATTCGAAAATAATCGATTTAAACTTCAGCAAAGAATTGCTTGGATATGCCCCTTGATTCCTCCCGCGTCGTTAAAAAGTAGATTTTCAACCCGCGCTGGGCAACGACCGGGATAATTCCATCTATTGTATCTGAAAATGTTCCCTGGGGCGTAATTTATATCCATTTAATTCTAGCAAATTTTCCGAATTATCCTTCCCTACATTTCTCCTACAGCTGGGACATTAAATGATATAACTCGCAATTCTTCAGGTAATTTTAGCGAAATGTTGTCTTTACGAGAGTAATAATATGAATTCCAATTGCCAATTCTCGTAATCGAATGTTGTCTCATAAATAAGTTTTCACTATCTTGACCTGTTCTGAGATAACTTCTTACTCAGACTTGTCGGCTAGATTTTTAAACTTAGACTTTTAAGCTATTAAATATCTTAGAACTCGTCCAAAATAATTTTCAATTGCAAAAGTTAAAGTTTCAAAGTGTAAATCTAAGAATTCGGAAGAAAGGAATCACGGTCAGTGCATTCGCCTAAAATGTGCAGGTTCTCTTGCAACTTACTAGGGTCAAAATGAACATATCTCTATTGTACGATCATTTGACGTCTAATGACAGCTACTTCAAATGACGGCATATGAAACTTATAAAATAAAACCACGTCAAGACAGACCATAGACAAATAGAAAAAGGGCAGACATATTACTTATGTTACCTTGTGTTCTTTGTTACAATCTCCTCCTTGACAATACTTGAATTAAATGAAAGATTTCGAAGAAGAAATTTCTAAAATAAAACACTTCTTCATCTGATAGTATGAGTGACATCATAAAACATATTGTTTAGTACTGGGGCCGTAATGGATGATCATATAAATTACCCCCGGGGGATCTTTTTTTAGGAACAAAAGTAAACGAGCTCACCCCTAATGACCGCATAACACACAATGCCGCACGTGAAACTATGACAAACCAAATTATGGGCACCTATTTTTTGTGCCAAAGTAAATGGGATGTGTACTACTTCTGTTTAAATAAATAATACGTTATGGTAGATATATAGAATAGCTTGTCATAGTTATTTATACAGCAATCAAAATGTAGGACAAGACAGAACAATTAATGTATATTCCTCATTATGTAATAAAAGGTGTCATGAATCATCTCTGAAGTCATTATTCAACTTGATGACTCTTTAAATAATAAAACAGGGAGAAAAAAACAGCCCTTATATTAATATAAGTTATTTACGGGATTGTTACCATGTACCTTGTTTTTAGCGAGTTTCCGATATTTGGGCACTGTTGCAAGCGCCATGATCACGGAGTAACTCATAACACTAAAAACAACGTACATGGTAACAATCCCGTAAATAACTTATATTACTATAATGTTAGTGACCATGAAAGTTTAAAACAATATATCATTTTTTATACTTTTAATTCTTTGATTATTTCACGAAAATTGCATGAAAACAACTAGCGAAATAATTATATTATACATGTAAAGGGCAGTTTCTTAGCCATGTTCTTTATCCATCCATTTTCATAGTCATCACTTTTCTGTCGTGTTCTTGATATTTGGTCAAATAACCACACCATTCTAACTTTGGCTAACATTCGGCTTTGCGAGCCGCGCGCAAACATTGTATATGGTGAGCGAACAACTACCCACTTTTTGCCCCGACTTATTAATAAATTGCCGCCAGAATTACGAGACAACATCACACATATGAATGTAAATTATAAGTTGAAAGATTACTTTCTTAATTTGCTGTAACTCAGTTGTATATCATTGTATATAATACTATGTTTTAAGTAAGGCAATGAAAATGTAAACTCCGATAGCGCAGTATAAATCTTAGTGGTTTTAGATGTTATCGCATGTCATTGTTTAATGCTATTCTGAATATGGTAATAAAAATAAAAGAATAAAAAAACTACCAATTAGAATATGATATTATCTTCAGGTTGTGCCGGGATCAGAATGAACAGAATGAACTACAATATGTCACGGACCGTTAACGGAATTATTAACGAAACTATTAACGGAATTGTTACCATGTACGTTGTTTTTTATGAGTCTCTGATATTTCAGCACTCCTTCTCCCTTTTCCTGACTTTATAAGAGCTGAAGACTGGCCCTCATCAAGCCCAGACCTCAACCCTTTAGACTTCAAATTATGGTCGGTTGTAGAGGACATGGCCTGCTCTAAACGACAAGGCGACATTAACTCTGTTAAAATCTTTGGAGCAAGCAGTGGCGAAATTTCCCTTGGAAACAGTGCAGTGCGTAAATCCATAGATTCGTGGCCAAATAGATTAAGGGCCTGTATAAAAGACATTTCGAATTGAATATTTTTTTAATTTTTACACAGACTATAATAAATATGTAGGTATAAATTTTAATAATATTACATTTATTTAAAAATTAAATTTAATTCATTAAAAAAATGCAATTTTTATTTGTAACAGAACTTATGGCTGGACTAGGTATATATCGAAATAATATTAATTCCAAACTCCTAAAAGGTATTCGCCCTATTTTTATAATAAATCACTTAAGGCCTTATTTAATAGATTTCATTTTTCTGACTAGACTTAAAACAAGGCAGTATAAAAATTACTCCTTTGATTTTTGCAAATTAACAAAATAAAAATTCACTGAATTCCAGTCAGGCCGACGACACTAATAAATTATTTGTAGTTATTTTTGTTTTAAAAATACTTTTTGTGATGTGTTGATCAGAGAAATAGGAGGAAAGATTCTAAGAAAATGCGAAATTGGTGGCTCTGTAAATAATTGGTAACATGTCCTTTACTATTAGCCAATTTGATTCCTGACTCGCAATATGCTTATTTTCGTAAAACCATTGCAAACCAATGAGGTAGATTTTCACTTAAATATATAATATACAATAATTTATACGTATAATAATACGTATCATTGGAAACAGTTGTTATTTTCAGAACAATAATATTTAATTTGACGGATTTTGCCGCCTCCCTCCGACTTTTAATACCGAAACAATTAAAATATGTTGACGAAGTCGCGGGCGGCTGCTAGTCTATAATAGTAAGACAGTTAGGACTCACCTGAATGATCCTCAAGATAAGAGTGGTGTTCTGGAAGTCGTACTCCAACGAGAAGTGGATCTGGCCCACGTTCTCTGACGGCTCCGAGTTGTCGATGTACATGTCCACCAGCGATATGGACCGGTTCTGGAGGAACGCCATCTGTCAGCAAATATCGTCGGCAACTTTAAAGTTGTGCCAACATTTTGGTTTGTCGGTTGACGCGAGTACAGCGGACGGTTTGGTGACGGCAATGAGAATGGAATCATCAAAGTTTTTATATTTTTAGAACTGCATGATATTGGTAGATTAGAGAAAATGCTATTTAGTATACTCTCAAGTAAAGATTGTAGTTTTGTTGACAATAAGAGTTATAACACGAAAGCTTTGCTTGATTTTTGCTATTTGATTGTTATTGGTCGATTCGGGGAAGCGATTTCCAATGAAAATAAAATGGAATATAGTTAAACATTGGTATCGATTCTGGCAAGAATCTCTAAACTAAAAACTAAATTTAACATCAGTCTCTTTTTTCCATTCTGCATAGAGAATAACAAGGATACACTGTTGTTAAATTTAATTTTAAGTTTAGAGAATCATGCTACAATCGGCACCATTAGAATACTGAAATTGCAGTAGGTATGGTTGATGTTGAATTATATTCTTAGCATAACCTTATCTAGAATTCAAATTCTGGGAAAGGCAAAATTTTCTACTGCAGTGCCTACTAATATCTAATGAAACTACATGATACACTGTATAAAGGGAAGAATATTTTAATTTGTCAAGATTTTCGTTTGTTCCCATGCTGGATTAGCAGTTGAAGGATAATAGTAGGGGAGCCCAAGCGGGGATTTTTGGATTTACTCGAGCGCAGCAGAATATGGTCAACCTTGCACCTTGTGAAATACTCCCAACGTACCTGAGCTCTATGTATAAGGTCAAACGTTTAAAAAAAAACCTTTATTATAGTAAGGCTAGAGGTACTGGAAGGTTCACATAAAGTTTCTGAGGATGCAAAAAATAGTAGCTCCTATTCAAAAGATAGACGATTTGGACGCGAACAAAAGTCATGGCCGTTTGCTAAAATTTTTTTTTGTTGCCCTAGACGTTCGACCCTATACAAAGGGCTCAGGTATGGGGCGAGTACTTCACAAGGTACAATGTTGCAACCCTTGTTTTATATTGCCGAGCTGCAGATATAGTAGAAAATTAAGATTGACATAATGATTTAAAAAAAATCTCATTGCAGTCACCAAACTGTTATTTCAACTTTCGATTGTGTTTCAAACACACGTGCACTAGAAAACAAACTCAGTTCAAAATACAATTATTGATATCATATTACAATACCATTAATTCAAAATCAAAATTTTTGGTTTCTTTAGTCCTTTTACTTCTTAATTTTCCAATGACCTACTCCTTTGGATAAGCAGTTGGATAATGCCTTTATTAGTGTGGGATGAAGAGTGAAAGTCAGCATTATTATGCCCTTTTCATTGTTTTTCACATCACCTATATAAGTAGGTAGGCCTTTAAAGATTACCCTGACTTTATATCGCAAAATCTGCTTGGTGACAATGTGTGAAATAAAAAGGGTTTACTCCATAAAATAGCGTCAAAAACTGAAATCTTTAAAGCGTTCCTTATGTTCCTAAATAAAAATAAAAAAGAAGTTCTTTTTCAATTTGAAACGACGTTTCTCATTCAAACGCGCGCAATCTCGCAGTTAAAAATGGAACCAATGGAATGAACATGGCTTTGTAGGTACCATACTTTCAGTTTTCATTTGCTTTCATCGTCGAATAAAGACGCATGGCTGTCAAAGAGAATTCATTTCGCCTGTTTTGCATATTGAAAAAAATAAGAAATACCTACTTATAGAAATCTACCGAAATGCAAATTTTTCTATTCCCTTATCACAGAGCTTATTTTTTTATAATTCAGGGTTGTTATGCCTATTCTACTTAAAAAAATATTTTGTAATATGTTTTTTTTTGTACTGAAATAATATGACATCAATAATAGTATTTTAAATTCAGCTTAAACCACGTGTTGTAGTGTTATTTGTTTGAAAAAATCGTCCTAAGGGAATTTTTATTTAAAATATTGTTATTTCACTAACATGCAAAGTAAAATGTATTCATTAAATATAATAATAAATTTTAAAAACTTATTGTACTTTGCATTTTTACAGCAGAAACATAATGATAGGGTAACATTACTCTCGAATAAATTGGATTATTTTTCAAAAACGTTGAAAATATACTTACTTGCTTTCTTATATAATATAAAAATATTCATGATTAGAAGAAAAAAAAATCAAATATACAATTTTAAAAATACACTAAAATTCCTACTTTCTTAATTTTCTATCAAACCAAGGTTGATCAGCTGAAACTAAAATTTATTTTAAGCTTTTGTTTAGTGCTACGTAAAATAAGAATATTATACACACTACAATGTACAATCGCTGAAAGAAAATAAATTACATTTAGATAAGTATAATTTCTTATTATATTTTTTTATACTATAGACTAGTTAAAATTCAAGGTCTCTTGAAATTTCTGCAAATTTCTGCGTCTTTCTGCAACTGTACCTTGTATTCCTACTGCATATAATTGTGGGATAATATGTGAGAAAACTTAGTTATAATAATTATTATTCATACATATTATTATAACTAAAAAGATTTTTTTAACAAATTGCCACAACAAAAATATTATTCACTCCCATTTTATTCCACAAATAATTACGATGCACTAAATAAATAATTTGCAGAGAAATTGTGCTTATTTTTTATTTCTAAATTATTTCTCAACGTGTCTTTATCATCTAAATCGCTAATTTTCTAATAAATAATTTCTTACTAAGTGATAAAATCGTGTTGAATGAATTAATTCATCTAAAAGTGTAGAAAAAATCACTCCAGTTTGATGTGGCGATTTAAAAAAAAATGCAACTATTTTTAGAAGCCTTTAAAAGTACAATCTGTCTATTAAAATTATGTTATAGACTGCATTATTTTGTGATTATTGATAAAGATTATTTAGATTTCTTTTTTCAACTATGAAGCTGGCTCACTGGTAAATCCTCAAGCGCTCATTTAGAAAAAAAAAGTTAACTAAATAATTCCAATTCACTGTAAAGCAGAATCACAAATTAGTATAAGCATTTTGCTATTGGTTTTTTTTTCACTATTTTGTTCATATACAACCTCTTCTACCTACCATTTTTGAAGGAGAAAGCATGGAAAAAGAGTCCATAGTTTAGAATACCACCGAGAAATAAACAAAACTTTCACAATAAACTAAAGACACATTAATAACCGATAAAAAGGACAGCGCTATAAACTTTAAAAAAAAATTTTTTTCAATAAATACACTTAGTTCTTTTTTTGAATTCTCACTTTTTTAAAACTTTATTTTTTGGTGGCCATTGTGTGTGTTTTTTTTTAAAAGTCGGCCATTTTGTGAGTTGTTGAAATTCGAACTAAGCTTTGTGCGTTTCGTTTTCTCATTGTTTGTGTGCGATTATTAAAAATTATCATGTTGGTTCAAAGGTGTTTGTTTTCGTGATAATATGATTTCTATAGTATCGTTAACATTTAACGTAAACTTAACTTTGTAGCTTACGTTTTGTCGTAACTCCATACAAGAGAGAATACTCTACCGTAACTCATTTTGATAGGACCATAAAAAAGAAAACACCTTTTGTGTTACCTCCGTTGTTATGAAATATAGCTTGCCCATGCCACTATGAATATAATTACCGTTAAGCCTTGGTCCGAGAAAATATCGTATTGATTGTTCCTACAATGGAACAAACTTTAATAAACTATAATAATCAGCATCATCAGTCTATTAATGTCCCCTCTACTGGGGTACAGGCTTTCTCTATGGATGGGATAAAGAGACTGGGCTGTGACTCACCACGCGGGCCCAGTGTGGATTGTGGGTGTTAACGACTGAATATGCAGCCTGGACCAACGGCTTACCGTGCCTTCCAAAGCATGGAGGAGCTCGATATAATAAGTTTTGGTCACCCATCCATATCGGCAATGGTCGGTCATTGCGTAAGTTGCTTAACTCAAAGATCGCAGACCGAATGCGGTAATCTATTGTGCCCACGAGCTCCTAACTCAACTTTAATATAAACTATATTTTTTTATTATATATCTATAATCATAAACCTTTACTTTTTCGCAGTCCGATACACAACTATTTAGTGTAATAGTGTAATAGAGAATACTAGCAAACCAGTGAACCAAATGTTCACCAAAACCTGATTTAAAAGAAAAAAAAAATGTATTTAATTAATTGAGAACTTCGGAGATTTTGTGTGGTTTCGTTTGAAATTCGTGATTTCTCGAAAACCGGAAGTGCTACGTTACTCAAATCCGGTTTGTAGTCTTGTCAGACTATTCTTAACTTATAACTTAAATATTCTCATAATTTTTATTATTTTTAAAGCATGTAACTGCTTGATGTTTAAATCTAAAGAAAATATAACTAGAAAAAATTCCACGCGGACCAGGCAGCAGACGGGACTCGAACCCGCACCCTTCGCAATCCGGGCGAATGCACTGACCAATTATGCTACCGCGGCCCTCACGGACCGCGTCGAAATTCCTTCTAGCTATTCTTAAGCTGCAAGGCAGCGCCATCTCTTCGCATTATAGGTAAACCCACAATGTCAAATGAATACTTTTACAAGTATTAAACATTTGAAAGAAGAAATAGCAATTATAGTTATAATTTTTATTATTTTTAAAGCATGTAACTGCTTGATGTTTAAATCTAAAGAATTAAATATTCTCTTTATCTATCTCTTACGGTTTGGCCGCTGAAACCACCACAGACGGACGGACGGACGGACTTGTCTAATAGATAAGAGATTCTTTCATTCATAACGGATTATTGATATTGGATAACATAATATACCTTTAAATAACGTTTCCTTTTAGCATCACTACCAATAAAACCTTAGCTATACCGCATTTCGAAAAAAAAACGTAAAACTTAGAAACCTTAAAATTCATCATTAAGTTCGTAACGTAGCAAAATAAAGTTTCTTTTCACTATATTTCCAGTTTTGGGGGCGCGTAGGCACTTTTCTACTCAACCCTCTGACATTCGTTGTCATAAATTATTCATTTGGCT